CCCCAAAACCCCAAAACCCCAAAACCCCAGAAGACAGAGATTACTAAATAGGAAGGAGGTGATCTAATATAAGTAGGAATATTAAGTATTAAGCTTATTATTTAATAATTCTGCGGTAAGAGTATTTTACTATGAATCAACAAGAACTTGTTTACTTAGCCTAAACCCTTCAAGAAATCCTAAACAACGACAACAATATCCGTAAAGCTGGTGAGGATAAGCTTAACGCTATCAAGCTTGGTGAGCCAGACAAGTATACCTGCTATCTCATCTCAGTTATGCAACAAGGTAAGTCATTTTATCAAAGCTAGAATTAGCTATTACTGTCTACCTAAACAAAAAATTTGCATTAATCAGATCCTAATTCACTATATAGCCGAATACAATGCCGAAGTAAAGAGCTTAGCTGCCGTCATCCTTAGAAGAAACATCTCATCTACTGCTGCTGACTCCCAAGATCTTGCCAATCAAGCTAACAACGCTAATTTATGGAAGAGATTATCAGCTGAGGCAAAGGAGTTCGCTAAGGTAGAACTCTTAAAAACCATCTCAGCTTGCAATGACAAAGTTATCTTAAGCAAGATTTGCAACTTGATCATTGAAGTTGCTGGTACCATTTATGACTAAGAAGAGCAAGTATGGCAAGAGCTCCTCCAACTCTTATTCACCTTCGTTAACTCTGAGGCTGATATCTAAGTTGATGCTGGTCTTTAGATCTTCAATGGACTTTTCTCATATCTTATGGATCACTTGGTGAAATTCAAGACTGATCTCTTAAGCATCTTCGCTAAGACTCTCTAACACAAGTCACTTGACATCAACCTTGCAGCCCTCTAAGCCGTCTCAAACTTCTTACAAATCGCTGAAGGTAAAGATACCAAGGACTTCTACCCAATACTTCCAGCTATGGCTCAAGTTGCCGTAAAAGCTCTTCAAGAAGACGACGAGACTGTCCTTGAAGACGTTCTAGTTGAGTTCAATGAAATCGCTGAAATTGAGCCAAAGTTCTTCAGAAAGAATTTCAAGGATCTATTCAACCTCTTCCAACCAATCGTTGCCAAGAATGACTATACCAACAAGACTATTAGACATCAACCAGTTGAGTTTGCAGTCACAGTTGTTGAGAGACTTCCAAACCTCGTCAAGAAAGATCTCGATACTCTCAAGACCCTCTTAGACTTAATCTTTAAACTTATGATCGATATTGATGAAGATATTGACGAATCATGGATGAAGCCAAAGGAAGGATTCAAGATTGAAGAAGAAGAGGAAGAGGAGGACTCAGTCCACTTCGGAAAAGTTCAAGTTGACAGACTCGTATCTTGTATTGGTGAGGAGATCATGCTTCCACTTCTCAGTCAACTTGTTACTACAACTCTCTCAAACACTTAAGACTGGAGATTTAAGAATGCTGGTCTTATGGCTCTTTCCCAAGTCGGTGAGTATATTGATGATATCTCAAAGATCAGTCCAATGATCCCAGTTGTCGTTCAACACTTCGCTCACACCAATCCAAAGATCAGATATGCTGCTCTCCATTGTATTGGACAGATTGCTGATGATATGACTGAGGAATTTCAAGATAATTTCCACGAATCAGTTCTGCCAGCATTGATCAATATGCTTTCAGATCCAGTTCCAAGAGTTTAAGCTCACACTTGCGCCGCTCTTACTAACTTCTTCGAAGGTTGCAGTGAGGAAATTGCTGCACAATACATCCAAGCTACACTTCCAAAACTTTCAGAACTTATCCAAAATGGAATTTCAATCATCAAGGAAAACGCTGTTACTGCTCTTGCTTCCCTCGCTGAAGCTGCCAAGAATGGATTCGATGCATACTTTGATGATTGCATTAAGTTCCTCTGTGGATATTTAACTGCTTACAATGAACCTCACTACAAACAGTTCAAGGGTCAAGTAATAGAAAGTATCACTATTGTTGCTGCTTCAGTTGGACTTGATAAATTTAGACCACATGCAGCTACTGTTATCAATGCCATGCTTGAAGTTCAAAACAAGCAATTGGATTCTAAGGATCCATAAAGAACTTACCTACTCTCAGCCTGGCAGAGAATATGTCTTCTGATGAAGAAAGAATTCACCCCATTCTTGCATCAGATTCTTCCATCTATCTTCCAAATGGCAGCTCTTAACGCTCAAATGAGTATTCAAGGTAACGAAAATACTGCCAGTATTATTGATGTTTTGAGTGAAGTTAAACCAACTGAGACCTCAAAAGATAACAAGCATCACTTCAGCATCACCACTGATGAAATTGAAGAGAAAGATGTAGCTATTCAAATGCTAGCTGTTTTCATTGATGAGCTAGGTGGTGGATATGTTGACTGGATTGAGCCAACCAGCAGAATCCTCATTACCCTTATTTCTTATGAAGCTAATGATAGCATTAGAAACTCAGTAGCAGGTGCTCTACCAGGTCTTATTAAGTGTGCAAAGGATGCTAACCAAGCTAACAATGAACTCCTGATTAACATGGGAAGAACCTATCTAGATGCCATCTGGAAAGCTGTTCAAAATGAAACTGAGACTGACACAATGATCTGCCAAGTATAAGCAATGAGAGAAATTATTGATGAAGTTGGTGCTGGATTCCTTAATCAAGAGACTGTTGATGCCCTCTATAAACAACTTGTTGATATGTACTACAAATCTGGTCAAAGAATCAATGAGAACAATGATATTGCTAAGAATGAAGACAAAGAAGATGAAGATGATGAACTTGATCAAGATGAGCTCGAAGTCATCAAAGAAGAGAACAAAAACGAATATGACTTACAATTATCACTTGCTGAGATTATTGGAATCATCTTCAAAACTCACGCTAACCTCTCAGGAAACATTGTTACTGATCTCTTTAACACTCTTTTAACTGAGACCCTTCAATCCGAGGAAAAACAAAAGAACAAGTTTGCTCTATTCATTATGGACGATTTAGTTGAGTACCTTGGACCTGAAATTCTCGGAGCTCACTACGCTAATGTTGCCACTCAAATCATTAAGTTCTGCGCTTCCCCAGTTGCTGCTCTTAGACAAGCTGCTTCATATGGTATTGGAGTTATGGCAAAGAATGGAGGTGCACATTTCCAAACTGTTGTCAGCCAATGCCTTGAGGGACTCAGAGTTGCCATTCAATACGAAATGCCCGCAGCTATCAAGGAGAAGAAATCTAAGGTAAAGTAATTCAGCCATGCCAAGGACAATGCTGTCTCAGCCCTAGGAAAGATCATCAGATATTAAACTGCCACTATTGATGCCCCATCAATTATTCCAGGATGGTTGAACCTCTTACCAATCAAGGGTGATGTTGAGGAGGCTAAGATTCAAAATGAAATTCTAGCTTCACTCCTCGAAGAAGCTCCATAAGTACTTCTAGGTGATCAATATCAAAGATTTGAATAAGTAGTCTTGATCCTAGGAGAAATCCTTGATAAGAAATACGTAGAAAATGAAACTGGAGCTAAATTAGCCAAGTTCATTAAATAACTCGCCGGAGATGCCAACCTCGGCCCTCATTTCAAGGTCATTTTTGACAATAAATTAAGCGCTGAGGCTAGAGCAAGAATCGAAAAGGCCATGAGCTTTGTTCAATGATTAGACACATGATGAATAAAGTCGCTAGAACCACACTAAATTACAAATTCGTAATTTATTAATGATTATTAATTTATCTCAAGCATTTGCACACCATAAATCATTGATATTTTAGAATCTTGGGGTTTTGGGGTTTTGGGGTTTTGGGG